AAAGGTTTCGCAGGCCGGATGTGGGCGGGTTAGGGAATAAAATTTCATGTGAACCCCTGCCCGGAAAAGTCAGCTAGAGGCGCCACCCTATTATGAACTGTTTCTTCGTGAGATTTTAAACAGGTCATAATGGGGAAGCACGTATAGACGTGTGTAACGTTTCCGAGCGTGGGTTCTTATGCAATTTTAATCCTGATGATTTGTCCATAACTACCCTTTTAAGTTTTTCGCAACATTTATGCGACACCATGTTATATATAACGTTTTTAATCTTGTACGTTTCGACAAAAAATAGACTAATAACATCATTTAAAAAATCCGTAGCTTTAGGAACAAAACTAATTTCAGAATTAAAATTAGGCAAGATCAAGTACTCGTATAGATGCAACAAAAAATTTGCTGCCTAATGTTATCACATCATTTGTAGATTAGTTTATTTTTTATCTCATTTCAAAAATAAATTAATAGTAATAAGAAGAAAAAACTGCCCGTTTTTCCTTCTTTATTTTGTACCGAATAAAATAAAAATTAAGTGAGGAAGTAAAGATTTTCCCTCCTTCCTCATTCATGAACGGTAAGAGGAATCATGTCTTCATATTTTAAAATCTTGCACCCAATCAAGAGTGCCCTTGTCTTCTGAATTGGGTTCAAAATTACAAGGCTACGGACGTGAACATTGAGAGTCGTAAGCCATTAGGGAAATTTTGCCGCAGGCACACCTATGGTAACCTATTGCAACCATAGAAATTTATATGGTAAGATACCTTAAGAATATGGTAACCACAGAAATTCGTATGGTATTAGATTGCGGGACACCATAGCCTTATAGTTATGATTAAAGAGAAATACCATAAACTTATGGCAAGCTAATGGAAACACAATACGCAATTTAACTGGCAGGTGGTGCAGTACGGCAGTTGTAGAAACATATGTTTAGGGACATAGTTTTTACTATGGGATCTGATACAATTTTATTCACTAAAATATATTCATATATTTATTAGGGGTGAAAAACATTAAAATTTTCAAAGTGAGATATGTATATATTCTGTTACTTTTTAAATTTTTCTTTTAAATCTATATATATTAAAATGCTACTCTTCTTCCAGTTCTGAATCTGAGATAATCTGGTTCAATGACATATTTTGATATCATACTTTGAATAATTTGTTTTAGGGCTTAAAAACTTTGAATCTGTTTCAGAATAATCTGTTTTTTATGCTTTGAACTCCGCTTGAATGGGCTGCATAAAAGACAAATTTTATTTTATGTAGATGTTGCTGCAGCAGATTTACACAGAAAATTCTGCTGCCAGGGGCTCTTGTAACTTAAAATGATGCTTAAAATACCATTAATTTAATAATTCTGAATTTTGATCTGTTTATTAAGAAACAAAATTGGGAAATAATTGTACGGGTTGGTGAGCGAAACGGGACGGTGGTGGAACGACGTTATTATATTTATCTTATGGGCAGGAATTGAAAAGCTTAAAACAAAAACAAAAACTAGATTTTAAATTAATGAAAAAAAGTTTTAGTTAAATAAAATTCATTTAAAATGTAGATTGAATAATATTTTTTTTATGAAAGTTCTTTCTGACATAGCTCTAACTATACAAATTTAGTTAAGCTCTAGCTCAGTTCTACTTTGTACATATTATATTTCGTTTCTTTACACTTAACTTTTTTTCTCAATCTCAAACGATGAAAAAAAAAAAAATCCCACGAATCTAAAACGCAGAGCATTCAGCGTTTTTTTTTTTTTTTTTATGTTCCTCTTTCGAGATTCTGGTTCAGAGTTAAATAAAAATATCATCAGAACAATGTAATCCTTAACTAACACCAAACTTTTTTAAGCTTTGAAAATTTAATCAAAGTAGAAATTTTGTGGAGAAGCGTAGAATTGAAGTGGTAAAGAACGTAAACTTTCCGAGAATTCAACGAATTCTTTAAAATAAAATGAAGAGAAAAAAAAATCGTCTGCTTGTCTCTCCGATTCTTTTGAAATGAACTCCATGATTGGCTTAAATATTTTCTCCCTGGCAATTCAAACGAAATGAAATAAGAAGAATTTATATCAGAGCAAATATAACTTTGTGTATTTTTGTTTTAAACAATGATAAATATTATTGCCTTGTTTCAAAAATGATTTTCGTTATCCACATATTTTATGTCAATAGAAAATAAAAACTTGTATACGTTTTTGCATACGAAAACGTGTAAATATCGATGAATTATTCAGCAAAACTTTAAAATGTAGGAAGGGCATCCACTTTTTGGGACCAGGCAAGGCATAGCTTGAGGTGGGTTCACTTTTTCACTTTTTGTTTTTCGAAAACTGTTGTACTTTCTTGCTGACTGTAACATATACTTATATTCATAGATATATGCTGTGCAAGTTTTTGCTTTTAGTTTAGCTAGTAAAATACATCTTTCTATTGGAAACGTTTGTTAGTTTGTTTGGAACAAAATTTCCTGGAGTTAAGTCTTCTCCTATTTATCCTTAATCTTCGCTCATAAATTTTAGGTTTTGATGAAATATTTATTTTTTTCATTGGTAGTGAACTAACGCAGACATTTTAAAAATAAATCCAATTTTTTTAGAACTTTTTCAAAGCCAAATGCATTAAATACTTTTTAAACTTTTCAAATTGAAAAATATAGTTTGCAGTCAGATTTTCTTCTAGTAATTATCAAGTTGATTTCGGATATTTAAAATTGATGCATAAAACTTCACCGAAAAATTGCAACTCAAACATTAACGTTTTAAGAAAGCAGGTTTCAAGTGTGTGTAATAGTTTAGAAACTTCCCTTTTATCTTTAAATTAATTTTAAAACCTAATTTCGTTTGTGTCAGCGATTAATAATGCTGTTTCGTGATAGAAAAGGTAAAGATTCTATTCTATCGACCCATTAAACAGTGTGATTTTTGTTCATTTAAATAATAATTGGATACTAATTGCATATACAAATTTTGAGCCACAATATAAATTCCCTAATACGCAATTAGACACAAAATTAGGTAAATCACGCAACTTCTAAACTCTTTACATTCCTTTCTCGTTATGCGTTTTCCTAATTCTAATGTATCTTTGTTCTCAGATTAATCACAAACAGCTAATGTTAACTACATAGCAAGTAACGCAATTCGTAACTCGTTATTAAATACCAGCATTATTTAGCGCTCAGAAGAGTTTAAGAAATGCATCCTAAACTAAGAAAACTTTGTTTTAAATAGGATAAATAAAATGAGATTTGTTAGTTCCAATTTTGTTCCAAGCACACTGACAAGCATTTCCTCCGATAGAAAGATGTATTTTACTAGCTAAACTAAAACGAAAAACTTACACAGATTATATATATANTATCGTTATCTCTTTGAATTTTAACTTAGCATTATTGCTGTTCGAAAGATGTTTAATTTGTCAGATTTTACAAAAATGAAAGTTTGAATTTTATGGTTCATGAAATCTTTTTGTTACGGACATTCCTGCTTGGTGGAAACCTCACGTTACGGACATTCCTGCTTGGTGGAAGCCTACCGTTTCGGACGATTTTAAAAATTCCCTGCGTTGTTCGATGAATAAACTTTTATACTTCCTCCTTAGAACGGTCATACTCTCAACCAGGCATGGATAATTTAATGAATAATTTCTATCGGAAAGAAATTTGATACTTATAAAAATTTTAAATGAAAGGAAATTTTTTTTTGTACAAATAATTATATTAATAATGGTATGTATAATATTATTAATGTATAATATTATTGTTATGTATAATATTGTTTTTTTTCCAGTACTAATAATATTTAATTTTTATATCATTTTTTGTCATCATTCAATATCGCAGAGTATTTTTTAAAAAGCACTTCATTAAAACAAATTATGGATTAAAATGATGAATAAGAAAATATTATTTTTAAAAAATAATTCCATTCTCATAAGTAAGCAATTCAAAAGTTTATAACTGCACAATCTGTTCGAAATTGCTTTCAGCTGCTCGTTAGATTTACGACGAGACAAAGGGTTTATTTTATGGCCTCTTGTTCTCGACGATTCGAAAAGGAACTTTTAAGATGATGATTTTGGCGTTAGGAGGAAAGCCTCAGTCTTCATATCGGAAGATGTCTGCTTAAAAATATCGTCTGCTTTCCTACTGCCAATCGATGGTGACATAAATTATGGTGTATACTTTCCTAGACGCTTTTACCTACCTTTCCTAGATAATGGGTTTTCGGAAAAGTGCAAGGTTCGTGTAAGTTTACTCCCGGCGAAGAATTAAGATTGCATCCCTATGGACATTTGAACTTAAATAGACTTTGCCAAAATATATGAATTCTTAGTGTAGTATATTTTCCTTTAAAATCACAGTTTCAAGCAGGATGGAACTATATTTTCCATATACTGGTTCGAAGTACAACAAGATTTAATAAAGGTATAAAGGAATTTTAAAACTGTAACTATATTTTTAGTATAAGAAATTTCTTATTTTGATTAGCAAAACAATTTATATTTAAATTAGCAATTAGAACCAAGCAATTAGAGCTTTGAATCAAATAATGATTAAAAAACTAATTCAGATTATTGTGATCTAATGGTTAAACCACAAACATGGATTAAGTAAGAAGTGATTATGCGTATTCACACTTTAAATAGGAAATTTTCGTGTTATATATCATCTATATTTATATTTCGTATTAGATATTTAATGGTAATTATGATCGAGAAAAGCATCATTAATTCTTATAGAAAGTATATTAAAATTGAGGGCATTTTATAACCACTAAAGTTAGGGTTATTAATGTAATTAAGGAAACGGAAAATAATATTTCCAACGAAAAAGACTTACGCATTTTAGGTTTGTTGTATTGATCCCTCAGAAGGACTGCCAAGAGTTATTTGCCATTTTGATTTGAATTCTACTACAAACAATCAAACTTACATCGAAGACCATCTTAGACAGTTGTCTCTGGAAATTATCAGTTGCATACCTAGCGATGCAATGCAGGTTTATACCGATGGTAGTCGTACAAAAGACAGTACTGGTAGTGGTATTCATATTAGGACCCAACATCTAGAAAAATCAATAAAGAAACGCAATCCAGACACTTGCTCTGTCTTCAGGAGCGAGTTAATAGTGATTAAGGAGGGGCTTGATGCTATCTTACCCTACGACGGTGATTATGGAGAGCTCTGGATTTTATCCGACAGCCGCAGTGCCCTGCAACATCTTAGTAGCTGGTCCTCTGCAAGCGATGAAACTAGTATATCTGTCCAGCTTAAGATTAAAAAGACTTCTCAGCACCATGACGTACATCTCCAATGGATTCCATCACATGTTAATATTAATGGCAAAGAGATAGAAGATAGTTGGGCCAAAGAAGGCAGTGAGTAAGATGTATCCACCGGGTTACTCATCAGGAACTTTACTCCAATGAAAAATATAGGCAAAAATCAATCTTGCAAACTCCACCTATGCACCAATGGTACACGGCAACATCTCCTGGCACCCTTCTGGGAATCAATTGCGATCGAAGCACCCAGACTGCCTTGTCCAGATTCTCAACTGGTCACCTAAAATGTCGAACATTCGAACGCGGCACAAAAATTTATCCGACTTGTAAAAAATGGTGTGCCCATCCTGCCTCACCGAAACATATACTTGATTATGTCAGACTATCCAGGGCAGACTTAACTTCCGATCCCCTTCTTGTCATCGACTTTCTGGCTGTCGACAACTTTTTGGAGTTGATCTGACTAATGTCAGATCTATGAGGATAAGCAACAACAACAACAACAAAAAATCCTTACACTTTTTATATATTTTTTTTTTTGTGAATTTGATGCACAGAGCCAAAAATAAAAAATTTGGATAACCTGCAAAACTTTTGATTGAATAATCGGATTTTAACTTACTTCGACTCAATTTTAATGACTTGAGAGCCTTTTAATAAATAGTGTTAAATAACTGCATTTTCACTTACTTACTAATAACTTGGGATTTTTGATTGAATAATCGGATTTTCACTTACTTCGACTCAATCTTAATGGTTTGAAAACCTTATAATAAATACTGTTAAATAACTTGGGCAAGTGATTTTCAAATAGGTATCAAATAATGTGGTAACTAAATATTAGGATATAAAATTTTAAATTTGTAAGAGGTGATTAAATGCGACTTCGGATTGTTGTCACCTCTATAAGATATAATAATTTGTCTCCAAAGTAATATTGTTAATAAAAATATATGTACCTTTTTTCATAACTTTTAAAATAAGAAAAATTGAAAAAATATGCAAAATAACGAAAACAAAAGCGAGTAATTGTTACAAAATATGCAAACAAATAAATAAATAAACGGTCCGCCCCGAATGACTTTTGATTTAAAATTATCAGATCTCCAGGTTCTAGAACTCAATCTTATTGTTTCGAAGGAATGAACTCAAATAGGCTCATTAATTAGTGCAGATGATATTTTAAGTTACCAAATCAGACACAAACTTTCTTTGTATAAACACACTTCAATGTATACAAATACTCGCATTTCTGACTCTCAAAAATATTGGGGAGTGCCGCAACCTGGGAAATATAGTTCCAATAGTTTGGTCAGGAGAGCTGTCCAAAGTTTGCTCCCCTTAATGTTAATTTTACTTTTTGCATGTTTCATCATGTCTCGAGATTTTTTTAAACGAATTGAAAAATGTTTGCACTCAGTTATAAATTTCCTTTATCCAAAGATAATTCTTTGCAAAATATAACTTTTATTAAATATTTATTATTAATTATTATTTTATTTAATAATAGTCGAAAAACTTTAGGATTGTAAGGTGTACAATTTTTACTTCATTTTAAATGAAAAAGTACAAAATTTTAGCGAAATTGGTCGAATAGTTCCTGAGAAATAGAATTTTGGAAAATTCGTATTTTTAAAATTCGATTTCTCAGGAACTATTCGACCAATTTCGCCCAAATTTTGTATTTTTCCATGTAAAATTACATTTCGTGAAACCGAACAAATGGTATAACTTATTTTCCTTGTTTATGGGAGGAGTAATCTGTCACTTCAAGACTAATTTTAAGTATTAACGCGTATATAAAGGACTGTTTCCTATGCGGAAATAAATAAATAATGGTGGATAATATACAATTAAAAATAATTAAAGGTTTCACATTACGACTTAAGATATCCAAAGAAATGTCTTTACTACCAGTTCTAACTAAGTTTCGTAGTACAAACACCACTATTCCAGATCCTAGCAAGAATAATTTTATAATTAATAGATACCTTATGGTAGACATAATTATTTTGTTTCTGAAAAATAAATCTTAATAATTAAACACTACTGTTATCACTTTTTCCCTTTTTTTTCAAAAAAAATAAAAATAAAACTGTTCTTTTAATTAGGCTCTAAGTACAAATTGGTTCAAAGGCAGGATAAAATGTTTACGAATAAGAATTTTTAAACATTCATTACTCTGTTATCGATAATAACTTAAACTCTTTTTTTTTCTCACCATGATCTCATTTTAATTTGCTTTTAAGAGGTAATAAAATACTTACTTCTTTGAGTTTACGGAAAAAGATAACTTCTGTTAATTTTCCGCTATCAATTACTGAAATAAGTTACGATAGAACACGCATTGGATAAGTAATTCCCAAGGATATTAATTAAAAATTTAAAAGACATACATTTAATTACAGCTAAAGAATTAATTAAATAATCCTATTGTTGGAACAAGAGTAATAAAACTTCTTAAAACCTAAATTTAACCACGAAAGAGAAGATATATGTTTTAGCAAGTTTTTTGAATTCTTTTGATGAAAATTAAGTATTTAAATTTTTTTAACTAGAGAATTTTTATTTGAATTATTTCATTCATTTGCTAATCTTTCATTGATTTTATTAATAATAAGGGTCAATAATTTTATGACTAAGTATTAACCATTGAGTATTTTATAGGTTTATAAACCTATAACAGTTTGTAAAAAGAACAATGATTTTTATGACCATTACTTGATAGCAGGAATCAAGGAATATTGTCTTTTACTATTTTTTTATTAATGTATTTCATGAGATGTATTTCATATTTACTGGTATTTTAGTTAGTTTATCGCGGTTGTCACAACCTAGAGAGAATTACAAAGTGGTAGTTACTTTTTTCAAGGCTATTTAAAAAAATTTTAAATGTTACTTTAAATCTGAACATTTCCAAATCATTTTAAAGTTTATTTTTCCACCTGTATGTATTTTCTTTAAATTAAAAATTTTCAGTAAGCAAACTTAAAACATCCATATTTTTTCAATTTTTTAACCATTTAAAAGGTTTTTTTCAGATCGTGCTATCCCTGTTATAAATAATAATATGAATCAACCTGGAAGTTTTTTTAGCTGTTCACAATAGTTATAGTAGTAGCAACAAAACAATTACCAGTCTCCCTGTAGCAGTCCAAAATATTTAAGTGGTGTTAAGCCAATCATGAAAGCAATTAAAACTTTCTCTAATTTTTAAGTTATTTAAATTTCAATAATCCACACCTAGGACATAGCCAACAGAAATCAGTTTTGATTAAATACACTTCACAACAAATATTTGAAAGCGAGAAACACAGTTTATGGTAAAATATTTGCCCACTTTTTTATTTTATTTTGGTAGACCAATTCAATTAAGGTTAGTTTATTTCTTTTATATTCATGGTGCCTGAAAATTCAGAAATTGATACGGATTAATCACATGGTTGTGTCTAATCGCGTGGTTGTGCATGACGTGTAAACGTTACAGCTTCAAGGTGTGAGTTTATCACACTGAATCGGATCAATGCAGTTAAGTTTTTTTTTACAAGCGACGTTAAGCGTACGTGGCGTACCTGATTGGCTGACCCACGTATGACGTCGTTTGCAGGTATCCAATTACGCAATGGCGAGTAATTTTTGATCAAATATATAAATTAAGGAGGAAAAAACAAAGGAAAAAAATAACGTACATTCAACATTATGTAATGCATGTAATCATACTATTCAATTTTACCGCTTTTGGCAAGAGATTTTTCTTAAATTTTTAAAGAGATAGTAAATTGTTTACTATGATTTATTTGGCTACCACTAAATATAAATAATTTTAACTAGCATATCTATCTTAATAATCGTGCCATAAAGCGTTAAATGATGTCGAAATTTAACAAGTTTATCTTCCCCTACTTGTTGTTTCGTTAACTCTTTGGAAAGTTAGAACTACTAAGTTGACATCTATGTCTTATACACAGTGATTCGAGGTTCATCTACTATAAAGATTAATAAATTCTAAAAATTTTCTCTCAAGTTACATGTTAGAAGCTACTGATGCATGGTTTTGTCACAAAATGTACCTTATGGGTAGACTATATTTGAGGGTGTCCCTTGAATTTCGCCAAGCAGAGATGGGCATTTGTCATTCAGAATAATGAATAAAGAATGATGAATAATTATTCAAAATCTGAATAATGAATGATGAATAAAGATTTACTCATTAGTCAGAAATATTTTGAATAAAGAATAAATCATTCATTATTTCTTATTCAGTATCCTTTATTCATTAGTCAAGAATAACTGAATAATTTCACTGGTCAACAAAAATGGGCACGGAATCCTCTAATTGACAACGATTATGACAACTACAAAAAGAACGTTAATCCTTTTCAAGTATATTTATATAATGTTTGAGAAAATTTACTTTTGTCTAACATAATGCATACTTTTGAGAAATGGTTACACGGCAAAAAAGGGTTTAATTTTTTAAATTAAAATTTTATTTAAAAATTTAAAATAATATTATCGTTTGCTTTCAAAAACTATAAAAAATTGCGTTTTATAGATTTTAGAACAAAATTTCAAAATGAACTTAAGTAACTAAACTGTTATAAACCTACTTTTTAGCACAACTAAGTATGTTACGCTGGAGTAAGTTAAAATAACATAAAAATAAATAGTCATACTTGTCTTAGTTTTATAGTTTAATTCCTAAAATAAGACGTTTAAGAGCAAACGATGTTTTGCATCTCGTTATAGACAAAGACATATCGATTGCATTTTTTGCTGGTTATTCAAATTTTATTCAGAAAAATTAGTCATGACTAATGAGTTTATTCATCAATCATTATTCAAAAATTTTTATACATTTGCATAATGAATGATGAATAATGACTAAATTTTTATATGAATAATCATTCCGAATAAATTTATTCTGAATAAATTTAGTCATGAATAAAATTTTCGTGAATGATGCCCATCACTGTCACCAAGTTGTAATCGCGGTTGATCGCCAAGCTGGGCGATGTTGAAACCCAATCATGATTCTGATTGGTTTAGATTTTAGCGTTATTTTTAAATGTTCAACGGTGTATGTAATTTCA